GGGGGGGGGGGGGGGGGGGGGGGGGGGGGGGGGGCGCAGGGAGGAATAACTTTTCCCAAATTTGAGGGGAAATGAATACAAAGGTTTTGTCATGGGGGACTTAATAACTTCTCCGAAATTTTTCGGTATGTGGGTGTGGTGTGGTAAGGCCCTATATAAGGGCCAGATCCCACTGTCAAAGAGGATTGTAGTAAGTGTCTGAATGTGGACGTGTTTGTGGACAGGTGCCAAAATTTGTGATTGATCTACTTTTCTGCATCTCTGTGGGGAACACGTCCAGATTCAGACTCTTATTCCAATCCTCTTTGCCAGTGGGATCTGTCCCTAACTCTGAGTTTTTTTCTGGCGCCATACTTTGGAGTAGAATGGCTTGCTTTTGTTGAACTCATGTTTTGTGCGTACAGGGGACAGGCTCGGGCTGAGGGGTGACGGCCGAGGCCGTTACGCCCCTTTTTTTTTTTTTTTTTGACCTTACGCCCCTTTTTTCATGTCATTGCCTTGAGAACTGAACCCTTTTCATAATAAACGACCTTTAATCATTGTGTTCTGTTTTGATATATGAGGGGTGAGGTTCTACATATCTGTACTGTCATGTCTGTATTTCGGACTTCCATCGGTGTGTCTATTTTGATCTTCTGACCCCAACCAATTCAATTACCTGTCAAATCTCGTAAAAAAATAATAATAATAAAATAAATTACCTGTCAAATCTGGACAGGACGGCCTTTCAGGCCTTTTCTATTCTCATCCGTATGATAGTATTAGGGGGGACCCTGGACCCTGTAGCAGCCACAACCGTGCTCAAGCCCTCAACGAGGGAACATGCCGGAGCTGCACCCACCAGCAGGTGGGCGATACCGGACAGGGTTCAGCCGGTAGCATCAAGACCGAGCATATTCGATGGGCCAGTCGCTGTGCCTCCCCTCCGGTCCCTATGAACATCAGCAGTCTCTGCTCAATGCCACTTGGGGGGCCCAACGGCCTACCTCTAGGTGGCGGGCACCAAGCTTGCCCAGGAAGGTACACGAGGCCAAATTGGAATTGAGCCCAAGACGTCCTGAATGCCACTTGTGTGCCTTACCAACCGAGATAGGTGGCTGAATCTTTGCTAATATCTCACCTGAACACTGGACCCTTTTCATAATAAACGGCCCTTTGTGGCCTTCTTGGAAAAAAAAAAAGAAAGGGAAAAAAAACGAGAAGAAAAATGACAGGAATTCCTGAGTACGGACGCCGCCCGGCCGGGCGGGGCCCGGGCAGGTCGCCCGGGCAAACCGGGCGGGCCAAAGAAACAGCCCAGAAATATATATATATATATTTTTTGAGGGCGGGGTCGTGCTGTGCTCGGCGTGGGGACCCCGAATCTGCAATAAAATTTTGGTTTGGGTGTGGGGGGGGGGGGTGGGCGGGTGTGAGGGGGGGGGGGGGGGGGGGGGGGGGGAGGGATTTTATGGGTGTAAGGGACTCTGCATGTATGTTGCCTGCTGTTTTGCTGCATGTGTGATACCGTGTATATACTGGGTTGGAGGCTCTGCGATGCCTCCGATTTATACCAAGAAAGAGAAGAAGAAGACGATGGACAAAAAGATGAAGAAGAAGATGGACAAAAAGATGAAGAAGAAGACTGACACACTGACGACAGGTATACAATTCTTTGACAGCAAAAAGCATATCGGCAGGATGATCTGCTGCATCGGGCCAATATTCATCGATGATGTAACAGACATCTCGCTTTGTCTCTGTCTGTCTGTCT